CTAGGACCGGCATGCGGCTAATATGATCTTATCCCTAACTCGGGAATGGGATCTAAAATTGTATTAAAAAATAGTTTCTATTATTATGGTTCTACCGAATAGTCTTAGTTATTATCATCGAGTCCATGTCCAAACGGAAATTTTTAAAAAGACGACTTGACCCAACAACCGAATTCAAAGTATTTTAATTTTTGGTTCTTGAATTATCTGATAAATTCAAAGGGAAACAACTAGTTTGAGGCCCTACATTTAGGAGAAATCTTAGAGATTATGAGATTTGGAGAAATCTTGTGATGTATTCTCTCTCTACTTCTTAAATTTAGGAAAAATCTTAGAGATTATGAGATTAGAAGAAATTTTGTAGTGTATTCTCTCTCTACCTATTTGAAGTCGTGGTTATCAAGGATTATAAACAAAGTCATGGTTATCCGATAAAATAAAGGAGAACAGTTAGCGTGAGCCTCTAAATTTAGGAGAAATCTGAACAATTATAAACTTAAAAAAAAAAAACGCTCGGTGAAGGGGAGAGATAGAGTTTAAAAAAAAAACCATTTTTACCCATGTAATGTAGAGAGTGGATATACAAACCCACAAGAGAGAAAAAAATTTCTCGTTTTTGAAGAAAATTTTAAATTTTTGGTTATTCAAAAACCAAAATTGGCCCCGAATATAGTTTGAATTCCGTTGTTCAACACAAAAAAAAAAAGAAGGTAAAAATATATTTTTCTTAAAATTTCCATATTAACATGAAAAAAACGGATACAGTGGTAATAACGGAAACTATTTGATAGAGCCGTATTAATAGAAACTATAACGGATATGTATATAATGTTTTTAAAATATTTTATCATGTAAACATTCTTTTGAAATGATTTAAAGTTCCAAAACTTTGAACGTTTTATATATTGTTTACATACTTATTTTTTTTCTTTTTTTTTGTTAAATTGGCCGAATTAGCCAACCCAGGTCGCCGACTCAACTAGCCAACTCGAACCGTAGGGGATAGGTTTGAGAAGTATTTTAAAACTTGATGATTTTTTATCTGGATTGTCGATCCACAAATTGGCTAACTCAGCTCCCCACCTGAAACCCCCATTTTATATTATTTTTACAGGCCCATCTAATATTTGCTTAGATTATGCTTAAGTCTTCACGCCAAAACTCCCAATTTATATTTGTTTTGTTTTTTTTCTTTAAATTTTTTTTTTTTGAAGGATGTGTTTCTATGAGTTAGCTGACTCATTTATACACTTGCCGCCCCTTTATTATGGACTTTAAAGATAGATTTTTTGAGATTCATCATCTAAGCCGAACACATCATAAGTATATATATATAAAACTTTGAACTTTTAGGTGTTTTTTAAGATCTTTCTGGTACTATTCGTATGTGATTTGACCCCAGGCACCTTACACAGCGGCTATCTTAAAGATAAATACCTAGAAGAGACAAGACCACTCATAAAACACTTTTCCTTTTCTGAATGGCTTATTTAGATTGTTCGGCACAGGCGATCCGACGATTGGGATTGGTGGGTGGATGACCACCCCTCTAATCCCAGTTTCCCATCACACCCATCCGGTTTAGAGGGATCCAGCGGCCACCTACCGATCCCGGTTTCGAAGGATCCTCCGGTCCCGCTTATCGTGCAGACGGTAGACCGGTAAATTAACAGCCACCGGTTCACCGGGAGTTGCTCGTTGTACTGGAATTTAAGCCGTACTCCAATTTTTTTTGTTCTTTGCCAAAGATCTAGCGTTTCTCTGTAATACCGGGCACCATTTCCAGGGTCATTCTGCAAAGCTTTACTGCACTGATACTTTCTGCAATTCGAGACAAAAACATGGGAAAATATGCCCCAAACCTAAATCCAGGCTTTGTTTTCTGTGCAATTTCAGTATGTCTCTGTGTTTTTGCCATGACGGCATCAGCTAAATCATCTCGTCGGCCTGTCTCAGTGAGTAGAATCCCAAATTTTTTTTATTACATTGAATTTTTACGGGGATTTCGGGAGTATTGAGTTGAGATGGATCATGATTTGGTCTAAAAATGAATCTTCTGGGTTTACAGAAACAGATTTTAGAAAAAACTTTTGGTGCAATTTATCTGAATCTTGGGTGTTTCTGTTAAATTATAGGTGTACTTATTTGCATTTGTATTGAAAATTAATCCACTCTATTTTGGCTAGAAGGCCCAAACTCGAGCGATGCTCACTATTATTTAACTTTCCTTCTGGAGATTTCTATTTGTAACCCATGTTTTTGCTATCTGCAACCATGGCTGTGTTTGGAACTTCTAGCTGGTTTGTGTTCTTGACATGCCCACCCATGGTTTGGGTGGTAATAGGATAAATATCATTGCAGATAGCAAGAACATGGGTACAAGTAACAATCCATTTCTTTTGCTTAATAATTCTTAGACTTTGTCTTATATTTTCTTTTTGGTATTTCTCTAACTATTTCTTTTCCATCATATGATATATGTTTTGCAACCATTAAGATAGAAATTCATATTTTAGAGAGATAAATTAATATCAGTGATGTTGGGTTCTCCATGTTTTTGTTTTACAATGCAAAATATTGAGTGTTTGTGTACATTTTGATGGTGAAATTTGCAGGATTATGAGATCAAAGAGAAAACAGACGCTTGCTATGCAGATATTGAAAGGTGCTTCGAGTGTATGTGCATGAGAGAGAGAGAGAGAGAGAGAGAGAGAGAGTTGAATTGTGTTTCCTAACCAATTTTATGCAATACTCATTTTTATATTCCTAATAGTAACAGAGCTTGCACCTTGCTGCATAATTTTTTCCAGCAGTCCAAACTCAGATTTGGGATTCTTATGCATGGATATGCATATGTTGGGATAAATATTGGATGGTTTGAAACTTGGAATAATACCTTTTTAATTATAGAGTTTGTTAGAACAGTAGAGCAGCTGAGATATTTATGCCATTAGTTGTTCTTTGATATCTTTGTACCTTGCAGTTTTAGTTTCTTATGAACTATTTCTCCGATAGCGTATGTCCTGACTATGTGTTATCATTGGCTGTTGAAAAGCGGTTTATGGGGTTGGAATTGTAAGTCCTCTATGATAGCTAAAGAAAACTGTGTATTGCGATGCCTCTCTCCAGATTGTTATGAGTTCATATATGCAGGTGACCCGGTGAGAAATTTGGACCTCTAGAAAATAAACTGCACTATATATCACTATTAATTAAAGCGTTCTTATATTTCTCTTTTTTTGTCTTATCAGCTAGAAGAAGGGGAGATTGATTATGTACGGAGTCAAGAGTACAAGTATTGCATGCACAAGTGAGAAATTTGATTCTACGAAAGCTTTAATTCTGTTCTCTAATGTGTTACTTTTTTGGAGTTCCATATTCTATTTGGTTTTGGGTTGTAAATTTGGTATTCTAGGTTTGGTCAGTGGTTCACATGATCAAGAGATTTTTTCATGATTATTATACTGCAATGTGGCCTCATTGACTATCGAAAGGCAAAACAAAAGAAATCTTGCTGACTTGCTTTTTATGACCAAATGATTGAAAGGAAACTAGAAAGTTGTCACACTCTGGGAAGGTAGGTGCCGCAAAACTCAACAGAAGTCATGCTTTATCTTTCTATTTTTTCCATTTCTTTTGTTTGTAACTGGTTGTTCATGATCTGTTGGGACTAAAACGGATGGTATTACTAAATTGGAGAAGAATGCAGTGTGCATTTAGAGCAACATTGCTACTTTTTGGATACATCTATTTGCCAGTCCAACCTCTCTATTGACCTAATATCATGTTGTTCTAGTTTGATCATATTATTCTCAAATATGGAAGAGATTGCTGCATGAAACTGCCATCCAATCTTCCTAGTCAATGTGCTTGAAGTTGAATCCATAAGGCCGAAATTCTCTAGTACCTAAACACAGAGTCACACTGACATGGAAGGTATTGGTGGTGTCCGACACATCGTTGGCGTCAAGACAGCTGCTCAGAAAGTTCTCTAACATCTCTTTGCAAATAGTTCAAAAACTATATTATATTTTAAATATTTTAAAAAATGAGTCTTTGATCAATGCTTTAGCAATTACAGTTAACCTTATAAAAAAAATTAATGTTTTAGCAGTTTCGAGGGGAGAGGCATTGTTCCTCAATGAACATGATTGCTCTTCCATCGAGAAGACTAGTCAAACCAGCACTGATATTCTTTTGAAGGCCATAGACTCCATTGGACCCTACAATGTCCTTCAAGTTGTTACTGATAATGCTGTAAATTCTAGAGGTGCAGGGACAATTGTCCAATGCCGCCATCGCCACATTTTTTGGTCAGGAAGCTTAACACACATTCTGAGCCTCCTCATGAAAGACATTGTTGATAAAGATAAGAAGAAACCAGCTTTTAGTTTTGTGCGGAGTCACTACCATGATGCCAAGAAAGTGGTAAAATATATTCGTAATCACACTAGTTGTCTATATATATCTAGGTTTTTTCTTCAAATCTTGAAGTCCTCAATGTTAAGAAGACAAGATTTGGGTTCCATTATGTAATGTTAAGCTGTCTCATGGAAGTGAGGGTTCCTTTGACATCCTTGGTTTTTAAGCGAAGGGTGGGAGGGTCTCAGACAGGCCGTAGGAGATACAGATCATACTGAGGTACGTCGTGTAATTATGGATGAAAATTTTTGGTCAACAAACAAAAGAATATTGCTATTTACCAGGCCAATATGGAAGATGATGAAGTTTGTTGACACTAATATGGCTGTGATAGAGGGTGCATATGAGCGCATGGACACGATGCTGGGTGAAATTGCAGTGGCCCTCTATGATGATCCTATTTTGTACCAAAATGTGCATTAGTTGTTGATCGATGGCTTCGGACTAATCTTCTATTACATTGTTTGGCATATTTTTTAAGTCCTAAGCATCACTCTCGGGAATGGTTAACTATGCTAACTCCTGGTGGGGAGAAGAGGCTAAAGCCCCACCATAATAAAAAAGTATCAATGTCTTATCTTGTTGTGCTTAAGAGGCTGTGCACTGACGAGAATAAGAGGGGAAGAATACAATAGCATATCATTGATTTTGTAAGTAATGAAGGAGTCTTCTCATTCCCGGCTTCCATTTCCGACAGAGGAACAATGGCAACTATTTTGTAGTGGGATCTATATGGTGGTGGGGGTTCTTGAATTATATTCACTAGGTGTTAAGGTGTTGTCTCAGAGTGTCAACTCGTCATGTACTAAGAGGTGTTGCAGTGTGTATAGTTATATTCACAATGCTAAGGGGAATATTTTAAATGTTTTAACACCCTGAGTCATTGGTTTATGTTCACTTACAGTGACAGGTTGTTAGGTAGACTGTGTTTAGACAATGCAGAGAAGTACAAGGGATGGGATTTTCATCCTGATGATGACTACCTCATGGATGATGTTGGGGCATTAGAAGCATTAAGCGATCCCCTTGATGCTGATGATGAGACTTGTTAGAGTGCTCCATTACCAAGGCCTGTCCCTCCCACTACATCTTCAGGCCATGTCACAAGGTTGGCATGCACCATTCCCTCTAAGTCCCCGACAACCCAGAATCCTACCACTCAAGGGTCATCTTCTTCGAATGTAGTTTTCTCGACTGCCATTGTTTTTCAAAGGCTGGCTCTCCAAAGGGGCCAGAGGACAAGATGAACTACTCTCTCTCTCTCTCTCTCTCTCTCTCTCTCTCTCTCTCTCTCTCTCTCTCTCT